GGAAGTATTTCTTTACACAACGCAGTCAACCTGTGGAACTCCTTGCCAGAGGATGTTGTGAAGGCCAAGGCTATAACAGGGTTCAAAAAAGAACTAGATAAATTCATGGAGGATAGGTCCATCAATGGCTATTAGCCAGGATGGGCAGGGATGGTGTCCCTAGCCTCCGTTTGCCAGAAGCTGCGAATGAGCGACAGGGAATGGATCACTTGATTTATAACCTGTTCTGTTCATTCCCTCTGGCCAGTACAAGGTGTCCCACTGTCGGAAGACAGGATACTGGGCTACATGGACTTTTGGTCTGACCCAGTATTGCCGTTCTTACATCTTATGACTACTCTCACAGCCCCTTTGTGTGGAAAAGCAGTAGTATTATCCCCACTGCACAAATGGGGAACCGAGGCACTGAGATTAAGTGACTTGTTCAAGGTCACAGAGGAAGTTTGTGACAAAGCCAGGACTGAACTCCGTCCAGTGGTCCAACCACAAAGCCACCTGACTCCCAGAAGAGTGTCTGCAGTAAAGGGGTTGAGAATCATCACAGGAGAGAAATTGAGGTAAAAAAGTAAGAAAGTTTTGGTCACAGATTTTGATGAAATCCCATGCTATTATCCAGAGTTTGTAGTGACTCAACTGTTATTCCCTGCCCCTCCCCACCACCCTACTGTTTACAACAAAATCATTTCCCTGTCCAACTGGTGTAACATACTGAGCTTATTAACCAGCCATGTCAATTTTCACCCCTGGATAATAATAGTCAGACCAGTACCAGGACAATCCTTTTCTACAACCAGTATACTACATTCTGTATGAAAAATACTAAGTACCTAATATGTTGTACATAGCTGCTTCTGACAAGACAAAGACAGATGTGCAGTGCTATTCAACATTTCTGAAAATGAGACATAAAACTGTCTGGATCACCGGTCTCAATGTTGCTATTGATCAATCAGTTAACTTTGCTGCAAGCAATATTACATTAATAATGAAGCCAAAGCAAGACAAGCTAATACATTTGTGACAAGTGCTTTTCAAATTTGCCTTTTCACTAATGTAAGTGCATTCTATCTAAAATATAATTTAATATTTTACTTTGAACTTGAAGTCAATTTATTCCCCAAAGGTTTAAGTTACAGGTGAGTTTACTTACAAAACGTTTGGAAGCCATGCTTTTGAAATATACTGATCATTTCATTTTATACACTAAATGCACCTGAACTACTCCAAATTTCATCCAAGGTTTACTGTAAGGTATTGGTGTATGTATCACCATTCTCCCTTCTCCTCCTTTCTCCGCTACTATTAACACAACCATCTCTCCTGTAAAAATCAGATCTGTAACCCAGGAGTCACCTTTTAGTGCTTCCACTTGCCTCAGACATCCAGGCGGCCTCCAAATCTTGTTGCCTGTTCCTACGTAACATTTCTAAATCCAACCGTTTTTTCCTGTCAAGACAGCTAGGACTCCCATCTATACTCTCACTGACACCTTTACTGCACCCTCCAATCTGTACAAAATGCAGTTAAAATAGTCTTCCTTGCCTATCACTCTGACCATATCATCCTTCTCTTTAATCTCTCCAGTGGCTCCCCACCTCCATGATATCAAGTTAAAAATGGCTGTCTTACTTTTCAAGGCCCTTCACAATTCTGTCCCTCCCAACTTATCAGCTCATGTTTTATCACACTGCTCCTCTCCGCCCCAGCTCCCTTTCTTTTCTGTCAATTAGAATTGCCTCTACTACCAACTTGTCCATTCAGCCCATAAAGATCTTTGCATTTTCTTTCACTCAGATTCTTATGCATGAACCCCTTTCCCCAGAACTGATCCATAGGGCTATACTATCCTTTCTTCCTTGAAATTGCTTCCCAACACTGCCACCAAAGCACCTAGCTTTTTTATTTATTTTTTTTAAAAAGAGCGCACGCTCTCATTCTTACACTACCACTGATAACAGCACTAATATACACATGTTTTTACACTGTGTTGTCCAGAGTTGCTTTGAAAAGCAACAGACAACATGATGGTAAAAACCTGTGCACGCCTTACCTCCACCAGGACCTTATTTGCTCAGGCTTTGAGGAAGTCTGGAGTATAGGGGGGACATCAGAGAGCATGGGTCTGTGAAAGGTGGGATCATTCTATTCCATGGACTGGCTTTTTGTTGTTTTGTTTTAAACCGGGGGGTGGGATTTGCAATTCTCTCTTTTTTTTTTTTATGGATAGCATTGTGGCAGTGCCCACAGTGTCTGATCCTGTCCACAAGTAGCTGTGTTTTTAATCATTGTCAAAGTGTCGAGAACTTGGGATAAGTAAAAATAAATAAAACATTTCTGTTAATGCAAATGTTTGTGTATGTACAAGAATGAAGTTCATTTCTTTAAACACAGGAAAGATTCTACCAATATTCACATCTCATTTATGAAGTGGTCCTTGAAGGCATCTTCTATGTAAGTGGTATTTACATAGTAATTTTCAGCTGATGTAAAACAACAGAGCTGGTTCATAATCACAGGAAAAGAAATTGCAAGTCACAAGGCAACATGATGTAGGTAGTATATCAAACAGAAGATGTCCTGTTTTGTTTCAATTCGGCATATATCTCTCAACAACAAAACAGAATGTATAGCTAATATGCCTTTTGTTACTAGTTACTCAAAGTTGATCAGTCAACAAGCACATTTCAAATGAAGCAAGACGTAAAATGTGTTTAATACTTCTGAAGGGACAAATCTCCAAAAGTAATTATTTATTTTTAGAGTAAATCTTGCCGATTTTAATTCACTGTCGGGGTTATTTATTAATAAAACTGAAAGTAAGATTGACCAAGTGGGAGATTCCCTCAATATAGTTTAAAAAACCTTATGCTCAAACAAGACACCAAAGTTACTCCATTAACAAAAAATGCAGCATCTCCTGAAATGCTTTGAATTATGAAGGTCGATTCATGCAAACCAGAAGTGAAAATGAAGATACAAGCTACCTGATGCAGTATTAGTTTAAAAAATGCAAAACCAGTAACTTCTGTTCAGAATAATTTTTACTTGGGCTGTGTACAGAGTTCTGAAGGGGACTGCCAGTGTCCCTTATACAATAATTACTCCACTCCTTCTGAAATCAGCAAAAAAATGTTCTGCACTTCTGTTTTAGAAACAATTATAGGAATCTGTGAGCATGTACTTAACATACACCAGTATAAAACTATCAAATATCTATAAAACGTTTAAAAATGTTTAAAGTACAGTTTCATAAAACACTCATTCTATCTTTAAAACCCTTTTCTCACAAAGCCTAAATTCTAAACCAGTAGTAGTTTAGATCCAAAAAGAATAATGAGCTGATATCTTCCAACCAGTTACTTCCCCCCCCGAAACATATATTTAATCACCCTGTTTCCTAGAAATACTATTTGAAATCAGCTAGCTTTGCACTTTATAAAAGGAAATGGGTTTTAACGCAGGTGTTTATAACTGACTGCACTGTAACTAGGAACTAAATTAGGCTTATCATTAAAGCTTAACTGATGCCATATTCTCATTAATCCATGATATTTTATGTACCAACAAAAACTATATATCTTAAGTTCACGCAGTAGCATAGCATTATGGTTCTTTCAATCAAAGAGATCCTATCATGGATGTACCTGTTGCCTTTCAAAACCTGTTCTGGATTTTATTCATCAGTAATTCATGATGCTGTCATCTTTAGAAACAGAAATCACATGTCTTTCCCTTAAACAAGAAATGCCAGTGCAGGCTGCACCTTTTATAAAATTATAGGTAATTCAGCTCTGTAAGGGTATAACAAACTGATGTACCCACTACAACCTCATGACCAAACATGAACTTCAAAGTGTAGTATGTGATTTACTGAAGGAAAGCGAATTAGGTGAAAATGTCTGAAAGAGATTAAACAAATGTTTGATTCATTTTCCAATATATGTTTTCCAGCAAGTGAACCTCTCCACTGCAGAAAAAAGCAAATTCATTATTAATTAGGGCTAACAAAATATAAACTATTAAGGGGGGTGGGGGGAACTGATTTTCCACTAGCAAAATTGACAAGCAGAAAAATATGACTCTTTAAACACATCTAGCAAAACCAGACTTTTTTGTGGGGAAAGGAAAGATGCCAGGAATGGACAGGACATCTGGAGACTGCCAAAGAGGGATATTTCCCAGCAGGAACTGTCCATCCCCATAAGGCATGCATACACCAGGACTCACACATTCATCAGTTAAGGGATCTCTAATGAGCAAATGCAAAACACAATGGGAGGGGAGACATGTAAAGTTGATTGAAGAAAAAAAGCCAAAGAGGCAGTTCAGTGGTGTCTGGACTTCAGATTTCATACACCTCCCACTTGACAACGCCAACTGGGAAAGGAACAGGAACAGAAGAAAGAAGCTTGAGAAATACAAATGGTAGACTGTGAGGTAAGGAGATTTGCAGGAGGAAGCGGTGAGAATGGAAAAACCATTGCTAGGAAACAGAGTCTGGCTAGAAATAAAGAGGAAGAGAAACAGGAAAGAAAAATTCTCAACTTTACCCAGCACTCTCTAACTCAGTCCCCAGAATTATTCTGGATTTCAGCAAGCTACAGCCTCCTCAGAAACCACACCACACGAGAGAAAAGCGTCCCCCCACACACCCCCAGCCCTGAGCGCTCTGGAACTCGGCCCCAATTGCAACTCGAGGAAAGAATCCCTGGCGGGCCCTCCCATGACCGCCGGGGTTAAGGAAACCCAACCGAGCACCCCCACCCTCCTCACCCCGGCTTCCTTCCCAGGGAAGGGAAAAGGAAACCCAGCCCCCCCCCCCGGGGCCCCGACTGGCCAGGACTACACCCCAAGCCAGAGGAGCAACACCGGATTAATCACAGACGGGCTCTGATCCCCATCCCTTTCCGGCCCCCTCCCCCGACCCCTCTCTACCGTGCAAGGCCCCACGGGGTGTAAAACCCCCGCCCCGGCCGCCCCGCCCCTCGCCGCTCCGCTACCTGTGAGCCGGATTTTGATGCTGGAGCCGTTTCTCCGGGTCCCTGGATTCGACATCGCTCCCCGCGGAGAGGGGTGGAGGGAGGGGGGTAGGAATCAGCCGCCGGCCACAGTCACCCCCATCCGGGCCCTGCCTCTCCCGGCCCCCGGCCTGGGCTGCCCCTGTCCGGCCGCCGCCGCCGCCCCACACAGCGGCCCCGCCACAGCGCCTCAGCAAGCCGCCGCTCGCAGCTCGACGCCCAGCCCGACCCGGACGAGGACTGCGCGCTCGCGCCGCCTTCGCTCCTGCGAGAGAAGACGGCGTGACGCAAGCGCGGCGGCCAGCAGCTGCCGCCATCTCGGGGAGGTCGCCGGCTGAGCCTGGCCGGTGTCACGCTCTGGGCGGAACGGGCAGCGCCCCCAGCGGAGGGCATGAATAGTGCAGCCACAGGGGAGCAGGTTGGTTCTTCCCAGGGAGGAGACCGACTGTGTGCAGGATTTCAGGGTGGCCACGGGGAAACTGAGGCCTGTGTTGCGCTCCGTTCTCTGGGGCTGAGCCATGCTGCACACCATGTGCCCCCTCCCCCCGAAGGGTCATGAGTCACCCCCATTGCCCCTCCAGGGCCCTCTGGGACTGAGCCATGCTGGACTCCCCTCCTATGGGGCTCAGCCCCAGCTCCATGCACTCCTGATCACAATTACTGCAATTTGTCATATGTAGGAATGAAGCTGGACACCCTGAAAAAGCTCCAGCTGGTACCAAAGGCAGCAGCCTGTCTTGTTCAATATCACTAGTTGCTGTGGACTCTTCATGCTAGTGCTCTCCAAGGCATTGGCTCCCCATTGAATACAGGATACAGGGAAAAGTCTCCATCATGATGCTCAAAGCCCTCTTTGGGGTTGGTTCAAGGTACCTGGAAGATACCCGCTTCCTTTGCAACCGTGACCGCCCATAGCAGTTACATTTCTCAGGAACAATATAGGAATTCTCCTACGTACTGGATCAGACCCCTAACCCATCTAGTGCAGTAGTCTGTCTCCAATCAAGGCCAGCACCAGATTATTTAGAGGAAGATGCAAGAAACTCCTTAGTAAACAGATGTGGGATAATCTGCCTTTGAAGAAAGTTTAATCCTAATCCCTTAATCGTTAGAGAGTGGTTTAAATCCTGAAAATACCTTTTTTAGCATTAACTATTCTAACTTTGGATATTCTTGTGATCCATATCAATGTTCAGTCCCTCTCTGAACCTTGCGAAATCCTTGGCCTCAACATCATCCTGTGGCAATGAGTTCCACAGTTGAATTAAAGTATTTCCTTTTCTCAGTTATGAATTTACTGCCTTTCAATGTCAATAAATGCATTCTTGTACGTGCGTTACAGGACAGGAAGAACTTGGAACTCATAGCCACGAGAGCTAAGAATGACCCTCAGAACTAAAGGCAAAGCTCACTCCCTCAATAATTTTGTGACTCACATACATGTAAACAAACACACAAAAAATTATAAAGCAAAACGAATCAAGCTACTTCTCCTACTGGCTAGGAAAGGAGAGAGAGATGGTTATTGATATTTCTATGTGTAATATTTCAGAGGTATTCAGATATTACAGTGATGAGAGTATATACATATATAACAAGATTGATATTGTATGGCATGGAAATATCAAGACAACAAGTATTTTGGCACATTTCCATGCCACAATATCACAGAATCTGCTGAACTTTCCACACCATGATGTCTCGGTGCATCATGCTTACATTCCTCTGCCACATGGCCAGGTTGAAGGCTCATGTTTCCAGGTCTCTGTGTTATGCTAAATCACAACGGTACTCTCACGCCAGGTTGTGGCAATTCCCATCTTTTCTTTATTCTTTTACAGCATTCTATTTAAGGATCTCAAAGTGCTTTCCAAACATTAATTAACCCTCTCAACTATTCTGTGCTACAAAGAGATTGGAACACAGAGGGGTATAATGATTTATTCAGGATTACATAGCAAATTAGAGCAAGGAACAGAACCTAGGAGTCCTGATACCCTGTCTCCTGCTATAACTACCACCATTACTCTCCCATCCAACCCAAACTTTGAAATAGCCTATGTACGCTGATACAGAATATCAACTAGAATAAAAATTGCATAGATATCATAAAACTTTGATTTACAAAGCTAGGATAACATAATTGTCTTTATAAACAGCAAACCCGTCCTAGCTCAGGGAGCTACACAATGCTATCAGCAAAATAAAACAAACAATGATGAACATTTGAATAATAAATACAACATAATCCCTCCCCCAAAAGAGGTGGATTTAGTCTCCTCCAAACTCTGCTTGTGTCTCTTGTATTCAATCCATTAATAAATCTATAGATTATACCCTTTGGTAGGGCTAAGACTGGCATGCCTTGATTATTTATTTGCATGTGGTGCTTTGTGTCTCAGGCAAGCACATGCTAGGTTGAACATAGAACATGTTACTGGAGGAGGTTAGATGAGGCTATGCATAGCCAGACAGAAGGAGTAAACACTAGTGTGTGGCAAATGTTAGCTTTTCTTTTTTCTGCTGGCAAGGAGATGACCTAGTTCCCCACTCCTGCTGATTTATTGAACTGGAAGCTGGAATCAGGACAATATGCACTTGGGTTTTGCTTTGCTTCTGAGTGTATTTAGGTTGAAATCATCATCTGCTACTGCTGGATGAAAGTGACATGGCTGGCTCCTTCCACAGGCTAAGATAGCAGTTTCTAATCTTCCCTTCTTTGGGGTGAAAAAATTGAAGCCTGGACAGATGAATGAGATGAAGATTCCTGGAGCATGAAGGGGATGGGGGGTAGTGGCTAAATGCAGTTATTTCAAGCCCCTTCCCGTTAAAAAAATAATAATTCAGGATTTTGAAGTATATAGCAGGTAGGGCCAGATCCTCAGCTGAAAATCTGGCTCTTAAGGTTTTCCAGGTGTTGTATAGGTGTTTGTTAACTCCTAGCTCAGCTAGGGACTGGACAGCCTGAAATATATTTTCAGGCCAGAAGTCCCACTCCTTTAAATATTTTCAGAAATTAGGACTGAGAAAGAAGGCAAGGATATTAAGACCAACCCCTGCATCCCTGCTGTTTGATTTTCAGGATGCTGATGGCTAAATGCCTTGTCTCCCAGCAGCAGACTTTCCTTGCTGTTTATTTAGGTCTCCAGATTGTCGTTTTTAGGAACAACGGTTGTAGACGTTGCAATCTGTTTGCTGAGACAGGTCTGTGATGGCTTAACTAAGCATAGCATCAGTTCAGCAGTGAATCTTCTCTATACATGGAATTATGTTGCGGTAAAGGGGGAAACTGCTTTATAAATTCCATTGTCGTCTGCAGTGTCGTCGTAGCTTGTGGGTATCCCTGGATGTGAGAGAGACAAGGTGGGTGAGGTCATATCTTTTACTGGACCAGCTTCTGTTGGTGAGAGAGAGAAGCTTTTCAGCTCTACAGAAGAAGAGCTTGGTGGAGTTCAAAAGCTTGTCTCTTTCACCAACAGAAGTTGGGCCAATAAAATATACTACCTCAGCCACCTCTCTTATAAATTCCAGGAAGTAGACTGCAAAGAGAGGAAAACTCCATGAATTTTTCGTCTTCTTGGATAGTACCGTTGGATAAGATGTTCGGGTTTGATGGGTGAAATGGAGACCATCAGATGATTTCCTACATTCAAATCCTTCCTTTAAAACACTTATTCCAAGCCTTTCGACATGGACAATCACATACATTGTGTATTTGAATTAAACAGCAGTGCTTGAAGCCTGGACCTTCACCCTAAGCTTTGTGTATCTGATCTCCACTCTGTGCTTATATTGGATGCAAACTTCTCAGAGGAGAGATCAGATTCATACAAGGTTGAGACCTAGGTAGTCAGGCAACTAATCCCTGATAATTAATCCTTTGCCCTACAACTCTCTTTTGGTTGAATTATTTAGCCCTAGCAATGATCCTAACAGTTACTCTTATTGCATAGATTGGGCGGGGTAGGGTTACACTCTGGAGCCAGACTGATGCTTCCTTCAATGATGAGAGAAGTCAGGCAGTTCAAACACCCTCCTGTCCCGTCCCCCCCCCCCACTCCCCCACCCCCGCCCCAGTAAAAACAAAAGTGAAAATTGCCACCTCACACTCAGTCAGTGCCTGAGGCAGGGGGCCTCTCAGGTTGATGATTAGCAGCATCCGTGAAGCAGGCAAGCAGATTCCTGTGGGTAGCAAAGTCACTCACTAGGAGACAACTGAAAGAACACTGGTATGTGCATATTTATTCAGGCATCTATCCCAATACTCTAGCCACTTGTACAAGAATATGCTAGCTCAGCCAGTCACAGTAAAGTCAACTGCCAAAGGATAGCATCTCACCCCTGCTCATCCAACAGCCCCACAACAAAAGCCAAGGAAACTAAAGGAGCATTGCAGCGTGCATTCATGTGCGCTCTTTGTGACAGGGATCCTGGCTTTGCATTTGCACAGTGTTCAGCCCCCTGATCCCTTTGGTGGTACTTAGGTGTTACTGCAATAATAAGAGATCCTAGAGTGGGTACAGCTACCACAACAGTATAAGGAGTACAAACGAAGAGATGGAATATACCTGGGACACCTCATGAGAATGTCTGAGAGTAAGCTACCTAAACAAGCATTTCTTTGATGACCCCAAGCCAAGAGACTGAGCCGCTGACCTAGAGGCACGCTCTGTTGCACAGTAATGGCTGAAGCAGCATTATTACATCTGGATATAAAAGAGCTGGAAAAACAAGCCCAGGATAAGGATGATTGTGCCATTTGACTTCTGCCATATGCACTTGAATGGCGCAGGGTGAATGCTGCTGCAATAGAAATGTTAAGCAGCAACAAAGGCAGGGCTCTATCAGCCCAAGGGGAATGGGCTGCAGAGGAAAAGACCTCTCCCTGACAACACCCTAGCACCAATCCCTGCCCCTTTAAACCAGTGTGCAGTGGCTCAAGCTTCTCCACTGTAGCATCCTTTGGGGAAAGAGGCCGTCTCTCGCCTAGCCAGATCCCAAGCATTTACAGCTCCTCCAACTGCTCCCTGAAACTGAAGGAAGCCAGTGCAGACTACAGAGCATCAGTGAAATATACTGTCTGAGAAAGACGCTGCTTGGTTACTGGGCAGCTGAGATTCTGAGTACTAAGAGTCTTATGGACCTGGCCTATTCTGAGCATCTTTCAAAGATCGCCCATCGTTGGAGCTCTATTGACGGTAGAGCTAGCTTAGATCAGTCCCAT